TGTGTGCCCAAGATCCCAAGAGGAGAATGGAGGAGAAGGGATTGTGGCGTGGCCACCCCCCCCGGGGGGGATTTCTCGCTTTCTGTCGGTCTTCTAGCGAGTACATGCGCCCTATAGCAAAAAATCTCTCAAAAAATAAAAAAATAATGCCCACATACGAGCTTTGTCAAACCTTAACTCGGCCACATTTGCTTCAGATTTGCTCTCATGTCACAATCACAGCTGTGCGCTCCAATGGTACTTCATCTCGACTGCTTCCTCTAGCCGAAGAGGTGTCCACAGAACTTGGTAATTATGTTAACCAGGTACATAGTTTGTATGGAAATTATGTTAACCAGGTACATAGTTTGTATGGACTTTTTAAAAATCTGGGCCATCTGTGGCACAGTGGGCTTTGAGTGCTGGACCCGGGGGCTTCGAAACGTGCCGGGTACTTGTGCGAGCAGACCCAAAGCCCTGAGAGGAGAATGGAAGAGAAGGGCCCGGCACACGACCACCCTCTCTAGAAGAGTTTCTTTCCCTCTCCAGCGAGCACACGTGCCTTACAGCAAAACTTAAAAGAGGACATCTTAGCAGACAACATACGCACTTACCCGAGAAAGACTTAGGGTAAGGAAGGAAGTACCCGCCATGGGAAATGGCAACGCCACAGTCCCTTGTTCCTCACTCCCTCCTCTCGCGGCTCTTGGGCACACACATCCAATGTGTTACTTCAAGGGGCAGATTCCAGAATTTGAACCAACCATCAGGCTATAGGACTTGCCCAGAAATACCAGTTTCATTTATCTTTTAAAATATTTATTTTGGGACTAGCAGAAGGCATAATGGTTACGTCACTGGAATCCCACATAGTTGACTACGATTCAAATCACGGGCCCAGTGGCTTAAACAGCATACCAGGCATGTGTGCGTGCGTGCACAAAATCCTGAGAATGGAAGAGAAGGAATTACGGTTGGCCATCCCCCAAGGGGTGATTTCTTGCTGTCTCTCTGGCAAGTGCATGTGCCCTATAGCAAAAAAAATCTCTCTTTAAAAAAAAGAAAAAAAAAATGTGTGTGTGTGTGTGTGTGTGTGTGTGTGTGTGTGTGTGTATATACAGGGGCCAGCTGGTAGCATGGTGGTTAAGAGTGCTGGACTCCCACACAGTCGACCGTGGTTCGAGTCCTGGACCTGGCAGCTTGCTTTCTCACTTTTTCTCTCTCTCCTCCTGTCTCCCTCTGTCAAATAAAGAAAAAAAGAAAGTTAAATTTAAAAAAAAATTTAAAAATATCGGGAACCGGCAGTTAGCGTAATGGCTATGTTGCTGGACTCCCACGTAGTCGACCGCGGTTCGTGTCCCGGACCCGGTGGCTTAAAACTCACGCCGGGCATGTGTGCGTGCGTGCCCAAGATCCCAAGAGGAGAATGGAGGAGAAGGGATTGCGGCGTGACCATCCCCCCTGGGGGGTGATTTCTCGCTTTCTGTCTCTATGTCTCTCTCTGTCTGTCTGGCGAGCGCACGCGCCCTACAGTGAAAATCTCTCAAAAAAAAATTAAAAATATATACACGTACATACATGTATATATAATTTAAGAATTGTTGTATTTAACTTTATTTATTTATTTATTTTAATTTGGCCAGAGACGGAGTGAGAGAAAGCATCCCTAACCATATCACCTGCCAACTTGTTTTTATTGATTTTTAAAAAATTTTATTTCTCGCTTTCTGTCTTTCTGGTGAGTGCATGTGCCCTATAGCAAAAACCTCTTCAAAAACAAATTTATTTATTTATTCACCATTTATTTTAATTTGACTAGGGTGGGGCTGGGGGGGGGTAGTGAGAAAGCAAGCCACCAGGTCCAGGACTAGAACCATGGTCAGCCATGTGGGAATGTCTAGCGCCTTAATCACTATGCTGCCTGCTGGTCCCACATATTTATTCATTCTTTTCTCAGTTCATTTGTTCCATGAATAACCAAGACAGAAAGAGAAGAAAGCACCCCTAACAGAACCCCAAAGCCAAATCTACCCCTCACTTCAGGAGCCTCAGAGCAGACACGCAGTGCCCGGCACACTCAGGGAGTCTCTCCAGACGCGAGTCCGTGTAGGTCAGCCTCACAGAATGTGGCATATTACTGTTCTGCCACTGTATGGCACCCAGATACTTCATTCTTCTTCTTTTAGTTTTCACTATAGGGCATATACATGCACTGAAGAGACAAGAGAGGAATCACTTGCCCCCAGGAGGGTGGCTATACCACAATCCCTTCTCCTCCACTCTCTTCTCAGGATTTTGCGTATATAAGAACACATGCCTGGCCTGGTTTTTGAAGCTTCCAGGTCTGGGACTCGAACTTCAGAGTCAACAATGTGGGATCCAGTCACTTTAACCTCCATGCCACCTGCTTGTCCCCGGATACTTAACTAGTAATTAGAATGAAGGACAGGAGCCACTGTAGCAAGAACAGTCTACCACGCAGACTTTATGGGTAAATTATCGAAGTAGAAGCATGGCTTGTGACCATGCTCATCAGCATTTCAAAAATGGATGTTCTTCACTCAGGACAGTACAGGACATGCTGCAAGCAATTGTGTTTGGGAACCACTTAGTGCAAAGTCTCTCTCCCACAGTTTGCATTTATACTACCATGTATACAAAGTGAATCGTAAAAGAACAGTTTCCAGCATTCCCCACACCTGTTAACATTTTCCTAAACCAGGAGCTTAACTATGGGTCTCCTATCTGACAAGATACAAAGCCATATTAGCTTTCCAACCCCTCTGGACTGAACCTAATCACTAAAGCTCTCATTCAGTCTGTCTGTTTAATCTCAAGATACCTGTTTTCCAACGGTCTACTGTTACATAACTTTCGTCATTAAAAACTGGAAAAACTTTTGTCTTAAAGGATACCACTCCATCGAAGTCATCACCGCACCAATGCAGGAGTTGTTTTAACCTAGTTTTATATTTACCACCAGACTGACTTTCACCAATAAGGGAAGAATAGGTTGCAAAAATAACTCCCTTTTTCACACTTCCATTATGTTTAGAGGAAATTTTTCCATATTTAAACTAAAAAGAGAAAAGAGAACAATTAAATTAGTATACCTTTTTGTCTAAAGTATTTATCCCACCCAAATCTCGACCTGCTAGCAGGCCTATAACAGGTTTCATGGAAGTCCAATTACCTCTTTCTTCCTTTTTTTTGAGAGGTTTTTGCTATAGGGTGGTATGCGCTCACCAGAGAGACAGAGACAGAAAGCAAGAAATCACCCTCCAGGAGGGATGGCCGCACTGCAAGCCCTTCTCCTCTCAGGATCTTGGGCACGCACACACACGCGCCAGGCTTGAATTTAAGCCACTGGTTCTGGGACTCAAACTTCAGTCGACTATGTTACACAACTGCTGGTCCCCCAATTACCTCTTAAGAAGATACATAAAAATTCTGTACACACATGTATAACTTTGATGTTAAAAAGAAATAAATCTACTTTTCCGAGTGTCAGAAAAGTCTATTATCAAAGAAAGTAAAAAATCAGATAAACTCCCCTATAAGAAAACTAGTCACATGTACTGTAACAGATATTATGCTCTTGTACTAAAAGTACAGGCCAGCAGGTGGCATAGTGGCTAAGGAACGGAACTCCCATATGACTGGCTGGTTCCCGTCCCAGACCTGCTTGCTTTCTTATTTTCTCTCTCCGTCTGTCTCTGCTGAGCACACATACCCTATACCAAATTTTGAAAAATAATAGTAATAAATAACATTAAATAATTTTTTTGAAGAGGTTTTTGCTATAGGGCGTGTGCGCTCACCAGACAGAGAGAGACAGAGAGACGGAAAGTGAGAAATCACCCCCCCCAGGGGGATGGCCACACCACAATCCCTTCTCCTCCATTTTCCTCTCAGGATCTTGTGCACACACACACACGTGCCCAGCGTGAGTTTTAAGCCACCAGATCCGGGACTCAAACCACGGTCGACTACATGGGAGTTCAGCGACACAGCCATTACGCTAACTGCTAGTCCCAACATTAAATAATTTTTTAGGGGAAAAAAAATTAACAAAATAAAAAAGAAAAATTATACCAGGCATGTATGCCCAAAAATCCCAGGAGAATGGAGAAAAAGGGATTGAAGTAAGGTAAGGTCATCCCTGGGGGGTTGGGGGGTGACTTTTCACATTTCCTCTCTTTCTCGAGAACCTCTTTTCCTCCCTCCCTCCAGCAAGCATACATGCCCTATGACAAAAACCTAAAAAAAAAAAAAAAAAAATTTTAAGGGATACATGAAAATTTTGAGTAATTATGAATGTCCCTTTATTCAATCACACTGTTCAAAAATCAAAAACAATTCTACATGCCAGTAACATCCTTTGAGTTTTCAACTGAGTCGCTGAAGACCCAGTTCTTTAACTACAAATCCACTGAGTGACACTCCTTACAAAGCTGCTGAGGGGCCAGCAGCTGAAGTGGTAGTTAAGGTGCTGGACTCTACATGGTTGGCCGTGGCAGAGTCCCAGACCTGACAGCTCGCTTTCTCACTTTCCCCCTCTCCCTATCTCTCTCTGGTCAAATTAAAAATAATGATTTTTTTTTTTTTAAGATGTTGAGGGACCATGCATCCTATAGCAAAAACCTCTCAAAAAAACAAAAACAAACAAAAACAAAAACAAAAACAATTGTTGAGTAAGACAACACTAAGACAGCTGAGGATTTGGAAACTCAAAGTACAATATACATCCACTGTTTTTTTTTTTTTTAAACTAGAGTGCACGTGCACTTGCCAGAGACAGAGAAAAGCAAGTACCTCCCACGAGGCATGGTCATGCTGCAATCTCTTCTCATTCTCTCCTCCTTCCAGGATTTGAGGCATGCACATGTGCCTACAGTATTTCTCAAGCACCAAGTCTGGGACATGAACCGTGCAGTCAGCTATGTGTGATCCAATTATCTTAACCACCAGGCCTAAGGTGCTGGACTCCCACATGGTTAGCCGCAGTTTAACTCCTGGACCTGGTGGCTTAAATCTCACATTGGGAGTGTGCATGCAGGTCCAGAAATCTCAAGAGGAGAATGGAGAAGGGACTGTGGCATGGCCATCCCCTCATTGCCCTGAATTCAGCTTTCTGTGAGATGAGCACACACACCCTATAGCAAAAACCTCTCAAAGAGTCAGTAGGGAGGCACTTAAAGCAGTCATGTCTGTATCTCTCTCTTTTCTTCTCCTTTTTTTAGGTTTTTGCTTGAACAACTCGCTGGGGTCTTGTGTGTACATGCCCAAAATCCAAGGAGAGTGAAAGAGAAGCGAAGGGACTGTGGTGCAGCCATCCCTCCCACTACCACTGTGGAGATGCTTTTTCACTTTCTCTCTCCTTTTCTGTCTCTACAACAAGAATCCGCCCCCCCCCCCCCAGCAACAACAAAACCAGATACAGACGACATGAGAGAATGAGAAAATACACTCCGTAACAACAGGGACAAAACTTGTCTTGCTGTCACCATACAACCGCCGCCAGGATTGTTTCTGGTACACAGTCACACACGTACCAACATCGGTGACTAGTACTCACTACATCTTCTGTGGAATAATCCATTTAGTCCTTTTAACAGCCCTACTAAGTAGAAAACTATTGGTATTCCTATCTCACAGATGAGTCAACATTTACTGAACGACCAACTGAATGGAAAGCTTTCATACCTTATTTAACGAATGGACCAAAATGTTTTTTGCTCCAATATCCCTCAAATCTCTTTCAGCATCGTATTTTAAGTCATTTGAAACACTAAACCTGTTATTAAAAAAAGAAAAAAACAAATTAAATGTAATTACCTGATTCTAGCAAAACGCATAAGCCAGGATTAGACACTTAAAATGTATATATACAAAAACAACACATACACATTATATACACATATTTTCACATTACACACACGACCACTTACTAATCCATTTCCCCCCAGGCTGAATTAACTGCTCACCAATAAAAGCTTCTTCCACAGCCAACCTGAATGCTTACCATAATGCTCTCTTTCTACTCAACAAGTAATTTTCATAGATAATTCCTGCTATCGTCCTCCCTTTTCCGACACCAGCACCATCACCTATTAAGAAGCCAGCACGGTCTCCATTAGGTAGGAATGTTTCATGTTGCTGAAAAGAGAAAAGCTGGTAATTAATCTAATTCTTCAGGTGACCTGGTGATCAGTTTCTCGCACGCTGCGTTGGGAGTACCAAACTTTATGTGAGTGGTATGCCCTCTGGCTCTCAGCGTGGGCAGTTTCTACATATTAAACTATACATTCCTTCCTGTGCCCTCCCATGCAACAGGTAACCAAAGTTAACAACGTGGTGAGGATTCCACCATAGCCCTCACAACACTCCCATGATCAAATGCAGAATAAACTTTTACATCACTGAGTATGAAATGACTGCTACTCTGGCTGTTACTTATTTTACAGACATAGAATATGATAGCCATTCTTTCCAGATAACTGGGATAATGCTAACTCACGGTGTTTTGAACACTCCTAGTGTGGTAAGAGAGTTGGCTCAGTCACCTCACCGAAATGTCTTCCAGATGGAGAAGAGCCATATGCACTCACAGATACACCCTCACCTAACAGTTACATGGCATAGCTCCTAGTGATAAAACTATTAAAAAGGGAATATGTATCTTTAATTTTAATATATATGTCCAATAAATTCTAAAAAGGCTAAGACAGTTGTCTTTCCTAATGCAAATATACTTCCCATGCCCTTATTTTTCTAGCACGTAAAGTTTATCCATGGCCAGCCAGTGGTATGGTGGTTAAGGCAGCTGGATCCCACATGGCCGAGTATGCAGTTCAAGTCCTGGATCCAGTTATACCGAGCACACATGTGCCCCAAATCCTGAGAGGAGAATGGGGGTGAAAGTAACGCAGCATGGCCATCTCCCCTGGAGAGCAACTTCTCACCTTCCCCCATCCCTCAGACTCTTGCTGGTGAGTACGTGTACCCTATAGCAAACTGAAAAATTACCTCTAAGAATGATATTTACAGGACTGGTCCGATACCTAGTGCTTAACAGAGCCAGATACCACATGGCTGACCACAGTTGAAATCCTGGCCGGGCAGCCTGAAAAACATACTGGGCACCTGTGTGTGCCCCAAATCCCAAGAGGATGGAGAAATGGAGAAAGGACTACGGCATGACCACAACTCATTGAGGAGCGCTTTCTCCTTCTCTAGCTCGCTCTCTGTCCCTCACATGTGCCCTCTGACAATAAAAATAAATAAATAAAAATAAGTCACATAGATTTTCATGTAAAGAAAGCTTACCTATGTATTAAACAACTATATTGTATGGACTAAGACAAATGATACTGTAGATGATAAGGAAGTATGATCATTTACCTGGGCTGCATATGTAATTGCCTCCAGCTGCAATGCTGACAGCCAGCCATTGTCGATAGTTTCCTCGGAAATGGATGTTTTGTACCAAACATCAGGAGGAGTGACACTGGATAAAGAGCTAGTTTCCACTACAGCATCTGGGTGACGTAGGCCAATTTTTACTAAATGAAAATTTTAAAATACCTCATTTTAGTTATTCTACATAGTATTTTTAGTTTTATTATAACATATTACAATCTTTTCCTAACAAAGAAAAAATAAGTGGGGCCAGAGGGTGGTGGGGTTAAAATGCTGAACTCCACATAGCTAACCATGGTTCGAGTCCAGGATACAATGCCTTGAAAATAATGCCAGGTACATATGCATGCGTACTCAAAATCCCGAGAGGAGAAGGGAAGAGAGGGGACTTAGACATTGCCAGCCGTCATAGAATGTAACTGAACTTTCCCTCTCTCTGGGGAGTGTGCGCATCTTATGGCAAAACCTTGAAAAGAAAGAAAGAGAAAGAGAGAGAGAGAGAGAGAGAGAGAGAGAGAGAAAAGCAGTTCAGGGGCTGGCAAGTAGCACGGTGGTTAAAGGTGCTGGACTCCCACATGGACGAATGTGGTTTGAGTCCCAGACCTAGCAGCTTGCTTTCTCACTTCCCACCTCTCTCTCTCTCTCTCTGTCCCTATCTGGTCAAATTAAAATAAAGTTAAATAAAATAATTCTTTGAAAAAATAAACAAAAGAAGTTCAAGTCCCAGGCCCAGTGACTTGAAAAATCACATCACATGCATGTGTGTCCAGAATTCCAAGAGTAGAGTGGAGAAGGGACTGCTGTGTGGCCATCCCCCTAAGAGGGTCATTTCTCACTCCCCCTCTCTGGTAAACACACGCACCCTACAGCAAACTAAAACAAGGTCACTGATCCAAAAGTGCTATGTACCTCTGGACAGCAATGGTTTATCAACCATGTATGAGTTAGGTAGAGGCTTGATAATTTAAAGACCTGGAAAACTGGGCCCAGGAGGTGGCGTGGTGTTTAAGGAGCTGGACTCCCATACGTTCAACAATGGTTCAAGTCCTGGACCTGGTGGTTTGCTTTCTCACTTTCTGTCTGTCTCTCTCTGGTCAAATTAAAAAATAATAAAAATAAAATTAAATAATTCGTGTTTTTAGATTGGCTGCTCTCCACACATTTTTTTAAAAAATCTGGAAAACTACCAATTTGATTCACGCCACCAGGTTCTCCAGTTGTTACAGAACATAATCCTAGATTATGGAGTCTATTTACTCCAAACAATCACTCGCCTCAGTCAGTTAAACAAATCTGCAGTAACCTTAGTTGAAGGCTATTTGAAAGGAAACCTTGGCTATGAAATACAACAGCAACTAACTCCCCACGATATACAACAGGAACTGTCTCAATGAGGGCAGAGAAAAACTTGCCCCATAGAGGGTCCAAGGATAAATACTTGGGCTTTGCAGACCAGCCAGTCTCCTGTAAACTCTTCATGCTGTTACTGCTGTGTGAATGCAGCCTCAAGTGCTGTATAAAACCAGTGGCCCTGCCTATATCCCAATAAACGTTACTGAAGCAAGTGTGGCCTGGATATACTTTGTTGACCTATGGTTAAAAGGCCATGAATAGGGACCAGCAGTTAGCGTAACAGCTATGTCGCTAAACTCCCATGTAGCCGACCATGGTTCAAGTCCCGGACCTGGTGGCTTAAACTCACGCCAGGAGCGCGTGTGTACATGCCCAAGATCCCGAGAGAAGGGATTGTGGCATGGCCATCTCCCCTGGGGAGTGATTTCTCGCTTTCTATCTCTCTGTCTTTCTGGTGAGCGCACACATCCAATGGCCAAAGGGGGGGAAAAAAAACTCTCCTGGAGAAAAAAAAAAAAAAGCCATGGATAAATTCTTTTGATACTTTTGTGAAATTTTATAAAAAGAATATTGAAGTTTCTGATCACAAAACCTAAAACTTATTTTTTTTTTCCTAAAACTCATTTTAGATGACAAAAAAAAAATGTGAGATCTTGGAATCCATACATAGATGGTAAAGAGAGAACTTTAATCCAATTTAAATGGAACTCCTGAGCTGACCCAGTACAGCAGTCAAGCCCCGAGCATCAGGAACTGGAGCCCACAAGGCCAACTGTGGTTCCTTCCAACCCCAGTCCTAGTGGCCTAAAATAAACAGCCAGCGTGTGTATACTAAAAATCCTGATCAAATAGAGAAATGGAGGAGAAATTTCAGTGTGACCATATCCCATCCGCCCTCCCTCTGCCCCTACACTCACTCTATCGCACATCCAAGACCTGCCAATAAAGAAAAACAAGAGCCAGCTCCATGGCCTAGTGATTAAAGGAACCAGATTTCACACGGTCACCTGTGCAACTCAAATCCTGGCCCTGGCTGCTTGAGAAACATGCTCAGCAAACGTGCATACACGCCCATGATCCCAAAATGATGGAGACGCTGCCCCATGTGGTGTGCTTTCCCTCTCTCTGTCTTCCTGTTTATCTGTGGTGAGCATGTGCCCTTCAGTAAGATACTTTTTAAATGAAAAATGAAAAAGGACATAATGGTTATCACTGTTTTTAAAGTATTACTTATTTTATTCCATCTGTTATTATTATAATTTGACCAGACAGACAAAGAGAAAGAGAGAAATGGAAAGTGAGAAAGCAAACTGCCAGGTCTAGGTCTCAAACCGCGGTTGGTCATGTGGGAATCCAGCGCCTTTAACCACCATGTCACCTGCCTGCCCCCTGGTATTACTTACTTTTTATAGAGGCTAAGTACATGAATTATTTTCCACTTTACCTGCATATACGGAAAAAGTAAAATGTGTATATAAACTCTAAAAATTAGGGACCAGCAGTTGGTGTGGTGGCTATGTCGCTGGATTCCCATGTAGTCAACCACGGTTTGAGTCCTGGACTTGGTGGCTTAAACTCATGCCGGGCACATGTGCGTGCGTGTGTGCCCAGGATCCTGAGAGGAGAATGGAGTAGAAGGGATTGCCGCATGGCCATCCCTCCATGGGGTTATTTCTCTCTTTCTCCCTCTCTGTCTCTCTCTGTCTTTCTGGCAAGCACATGCGCCCTATAGCAAAAACCTCTCAAAAAAAAACCCTTAAAATTAATAATTTTTAATTTCATATAGTGGCCACTACAAAATAAATTAGGGTTATATACAAAAGACAGAAATGGTATTAATGAAACCACTCATCTCAAATAGCAATAACTTTGTTTTAAAGATTTCAGTGTTTTCATGATTGCTTTAGATAAGATATATAAAGCTAAGATATATATTTATATCTGCAATATGGTTTGAAGTTATAATCACTACTCACATGAGAAAAAGTAACTTGAAACGAAATAAAAGTTGAGCTCTGGAGGCCAGCTGGTGTTGAGGTGGTTAAGGGCGCTGGACTCCCACATGGCTGACCATAGTTCGAGTCCCGGACCTCGCTGATTGCTTTCTCACTTTCTCTCACTCTCTCTCACTCTCACTCTATCCCTCCCTGGTCAAGTTAAAATAAATAAAGTTAAAATAATTTTTAAAAAACTAAATAAATAAAACTTGAGCTCTTTCAATCTCTGCTTTAAAAACATTTCCAGCAGGGACCAGCAGACGGCTGGTTATATTGCTACACTCCCATGCAGTCAACCATGATTCAAGTCCCTGACCTGGTGACTTAAAATTCACACCGGGCACATGTGCTTATGTGCCCAAAATCCAGAGAGGAGAGTGGAAGAGAAGGGATTGTCACACAGCAATCTCTGTGAGGGGGTGATTTCTCACTTTCCATCTGTCTGTCTCTGTCTCTCTGGGAAGCATATGAGCCCTATAGCAAAAATCTCACTTAAAAAAAAAAAATAGGTGAACCAGCAGGTGGCATGGTGGTTAAGATGCTACACACTCCCAAAGGGCTGACCATGGTTTGAGTCCCGGACCTGGTGGCTTGCTTTCTCACTTTCCCTTTTTCTTTTTGTGTCTCTCTCTGGTTAAGCTAAAAATAAATGAATAAATACCATTAAATAAATAAATTTTTAAATTAAAAAAAAAAACAAAAGATTTCCAGTAAAAACATTTTCTCTAAAAAATAAAGCTAAAAAACCTCACTATAACAGTTTCACGTACATATTTTTTAAAAGACATTACATGGGACCAGCAGATGGTGTAATGGTTGTGTTACTGGACTCCTAGGTAGTCGAAAGTGGTTCAATGCCCAAATCTAGTAGCTTAAACTTCATGCCAGACATATGTGTGAACATGCCCAAAATCCTAAGAGAAGAATGGAGGATTGCTGTGTGGCCCTCCACCCTGAGGGGTTCTTTCTTTCTTTCTTTTTTTTGTTAAAGAATTATTTTATATTTATTCATTTTAATTTGGCCAGAGATACAGGCAGAGAAGAAGAGAGAGAGAGAAAGCAAGCCGCCAGGTCCTGAACTTGACCACAGTCAGACATGTGGAAATCCAGCGCCCTTAACCCCTACGCCACCTGCTGGCTCCGCTGAGGGGCAACTTCTCACTTTATGTCTCTCCAGAGCGCTCACATGCCCTATAGCAACACTCTCCCTTAACAAAAGGAAAAAAAGAAAACAAACAAACAAACAAAAAAACACATTACAGGGACCGACAGATGGTGTAATGGTTATGTCATTGTACTCCCACATAGTCAACCACCAAGTCCTGAACCCAGTGGCTTAAAACTCATGTTGGGTAGGTGTGCGTACATGCCCAAAACCCAAGAGGAGAATGAAGGAGAAGGAAGAGACTGTGGTGTGGTCATTTCCCGAGGGGTGATTTCTCGCTTTCTGTCTCTATCTCTCCAGCGAGCACACACACCCCATAGCAATAATCTCTCAAAAAAGCAAAACTAAGCACATTATAGTTTAAAACATATTACAATAGCTTGACTTGTCAACCCCTCAGGCACCCAACACTGATAGCTCCTAACATGTACTAGTGTATGTGCGGGAGTTATTAAAGCTCAAGAGGAAGTCTTTGTTATTTTGACAAATCCAAAACACATACATTTTATTGGCATATACTCCGCATAGGTTTCCGCATGTCCCATTTCTTCTTCATCTTCTTCCTCTGGTTCATCTTCCTCTTTTACAACAGGGACCTTCTGCAATACAGAAAGAGCATTTATACTAATGCCAAGTCCAAGGCTGGAGGCCTAATCAGCACAGGAAGAAAACTCTTCTAGAGGAATCTCTACAACCTTCAATCTTGGAAACATGAAATGCCACTTTAAGCTTCCCTAAAACCTAGGTCCCCGTATGATTTACACTCCAAACCTTTGGTACACTTGCAAGTAAAATAAAGAGCTATTCATAATTACACCAAGAAAACAGGATAAACCAGGCTGTTCCCAGAAAACAGAGTGAGTGGTCACTCAGGAGCATGTTTCCCTTGTCTCTGTCTACACACCCTGAAGGTGAGAGGAGAGGACAGGGTATGAATAGGAGGGACCTGAGCAGGTCTTTTCACCAGCAGCAAAACCATTAGGACACTAAGCTGCTCATCAATGTGCGCATGCTCAAGGAGGAGTAAGGAGAAGCAGTTGTGAACAGATACACCAAGGGAGGAGGAGAAGGAAACCCTAGTCAGAATCTACGGTTACCATGGCGTTAAAGGGTCAGTGGGTGGCATGGTTGTTATGGCAGAGAGACCCCACATGGCCACTGCACAGATCAAGTCCCAGACCCAGCAGCTTCAAGCTGACCAAAATCCCAAGTGGAGAGATGGAAAAAGTACTGAAGCAAGGCCATCCCGAGGGATGCCGTCTCACTCTCTCTCCTCTCCCCAACAAGCACACATGCCCTTTCGGGGGGAATGGCACTGAAAAGGAAGAGTAGGCTCTTGTTTTTACTCGCCTCAGAATCGAGAGCAGAGTATGCTGACACATAACTCCAAAGAGGTGGAAGGGAGAAGGGATGGGAGGTGATGAACATGAACCCGCAGAGTTCTCGGGTAAAGTCCAAAACCCAGAAGGTCAGAAATTCAGCCAAAAAGAAGTCCAATTTCAGAAACTGAAGATAAAATGGGACTGGCCCAAAAATGTGAATTCCATTTCTGCTCTTAATTGTGTAGCCTTGGGTAAAAATCCCTCAGTTCTGGTCCTTTCTACTCCTACGTTCTCACCGTTTACTCCAAGACACAGGAATTCCTTCTACATAAGGTACCCTACCTCCTTCCTTCTCCCTCTACCCTACATTCCCTAATTTTTTTTTTTTAAATCACCAGGGGTATATAATTGAAAAATAAGTTCGTAACACTGAAAGTCACAAAATTTGGGACCAGACAGGGTAATATTTCTATGCCAAGTGGATATAAAATGCCAACTGACATCACATTTAGGGTCAAAGAGAAAACTGAGGGTGAGGAAGGCCTTAGTACCTGATGGGTGTCTAACCAATGCACAACACAGGCAAACTTTACAAGGTGGGAATGGGGGCCTATGGTTCTCAGGTACTCCTCTTTGTCCAAGAAAACCTGGAAATCAGGATTTTTGTGTATCAGAAACAAATACAAAATTCTTCAAAATATTATGAAGGCCAACGAAAACACATTTGTTGACTAGTTTTGGTCCATAAGCCACCAATCTGTAATGTTTGTTAGATGTTTCTTAACTAATAGACCAATACAGAATTCTTGGTATGTTAGGACCAGCAGTTAGCGGAATGGCTATGTCGCTGGACTCCCATGTAGTCGACTGCGGTTCGTGACCTGGAGCTGGTGGCTTGAACTCTCGCCGGGCGCGTGTGCGTACATGCCCAGGATCCCAAGAGGAAAACAGAGGAGGAGGATTGTGGCGTGGCCATCCCCCCAGAGGGTGATTTCTCACTTTCTGTCTCTGTCTCTTTCTGGCGAGTGCATGCGCACTATAGCAGAAACATCTTGGGAATAAAAAAGAAGGGCAAATGAGCCCTACATAAAACATTCTTTAAAGAAAAGTGCAGTCTTAGTTTCCAAAACTCAGTTTCTAAGAGCTGCTGGTACATCAGTGCTAAGTAAATCGAGTGCTGTCAACCTCTGTCCTCCTGGTCCCTGCCAGATCTCAGAAACAGGCTGCTTTGCTGTCTCCAATTCCATATTCCATCTGAACAGTTTACTCCTAGCAATCCTTAGTACCGTATGTGCGCTCATATCATATCTTACCCCTTTCTTCTTACTTCTCACACCTTTTTCTAAGGTGTCCAAGACCCCTACTTGAGCGCCTTTTTCTCCTCTCTTTTAGATTAGATAGTTAACTGTCAACCTGTCTCTCCACGACTGCCCATCGGGAATCCCCGAGAGGTCCCCCCACATCCTCCTCACTGGAGCTGCACCAAATCCAACATTTTTCAAACTCAATTCAGGATCGTCCACAGAATGGGAATCGATTATTTCAGCTTCCTGCAAGGCAAGTACCCTGGTTCCCTGTCACCTCCTCTGTGCCTGTCAGTGCTCAGCTCCCTGCCTCAAATGTCCTCAATGAATCTCTCCTACTCCAGCCCAAGCTCCCTCACACCTCCCCCGACTCCAAAACACGGAGGTCTTATCTCATGTTCCGGCAAACCCTTCAGCCCAACATGAGCGTCACATACCTTTTTATGGCTAGACACTGCAATACATAATCCAAGCGGTTACGAAATTTTACGTTTACTGAGTGGGAAATCATGGGGAATATCGCGTATAGAAATGGACTACACATACACAGTGTTAAACCGAGGATAAGCAAATGTACAGAACTGACTTAAAATATTAAACCATTTCCAAAATCTAAGAAAAAATTATCCTATACTCACCCGTAACTGTACTATTATGATCTGGCTGCTTAGAATGAGCCATATGTTCAAGTTCAACATTAAAATGAACACAGGTATTAAGTATTTTCGGTTAATTCTGCATTATCTTTCTGATCAGATATGGTCCAATGAAAGATGTCAGTACCCATATAATACAATATCCTATCAGATATACAAGTCTTCATCACCCCATTTAGTATGGATTAGCTTACTCCAGTGGGGCTGGGCTTACCCATCACTTACGAGTGGAGCAGCTCTCTCTCCAACCAAACAGGAGGGTTAGTTATCCCAGAGAATTTTTCAGTCAAGTAGACTTGACTACTACACAAAATAACAGACATTGTTTTGAAACTCACCATGGTTGGAGAAAAACTCCTCATTTTCATGTCGTTTATCCATATTCTTGCTACTTCTTTATTAGAAGACTCTTTCTTTACTGTACCATTGCTTACATCAGCTAAAAAGAAATCAATTTGTTTTAGAACAAATCTCATTTTCCTACAGCTTAAAAATTACAAACCAAAAGACATCTGCCTGTTACTAACTTAAACATAAACATTAAAAGTTTTGTCTTGGTGGGGTGTGGTGGTTAAGGTGCTGGACTCCCACATGGCCGACCACAGTTCAAGTCCTGGACCTGGTGGCTTGCTTCCTTACTTTCCCACTCTCTCTCATTCTGTCCGTATCTGGCCAAATTTAAATAAATAAAGTTCAATAAAATAATTATTTAAAAAATGTTCTATCTTAGGACCAGCAGATGGCATAATGGTTACAACGCTGGACCACCACATAATCAACCACAGCTCCAGTCCCAGACACGGCAGCTTCAAACTTATGCCAGGCATGTGTGTGCATGCCCAAAATCTCCCAAGGAGAATGGACTGAGAAGAAAAGGACTGTGGCATGGCCATTCCCCTGGGCAGTTATTTCTTACTTTCTGTCTGTGTCTCTCTAGCGAGCACACGTGCCCTATCGTAAAAATCTCTCTTAAAAAAAAAAAAAAAAGTGCTTTGTCTTGGGGCCAGCAGGTGGCATGGTGGTTAAGGTGCCAGACTCCCACAGGGCCAACCACAGTCTGAGTCCCGGACCTGGTGGCTGGCTTTCTCACTCTGCTTGTCCCCCACCCCCATTTTAAGCACACGCGCCCTACATAAAAGCAAAAGACAATATTAATAACAAAATTAAATAAGTAATTCCTTTGGGGAAAAAACTGTGTCTTTATAGAAAAATTAACTTTAGACAAGTCAAGAGGAAATGTGTACGTGGGAAATTTGGAAAGTGTGTACCAGAAAAACACCTTATCAGAACTGTTTGATAGTTTAACACGAACACCGAGAGTCAGCCAATGGGACCAGCAAATGGCTTAATGGTTAAGTCCCTGGACTCCCACGTAGTCGACCACTGTGTGAGTTCCAGAACAGCGGCTTACACTCACGCCAGGCAAATGTGGCTAATGCTCAAGATCCCGAAAGAAGAATGGAGGAGAAGGGACTGCGGGGTGGCCATCCCCTCTGTGGGGTGATTTCTGGCTTTCTGTCTCTTTTTCCAGCGAGTGTGCACGCCCTGTGGCAAAAATCTATGGGGGGAAAAAAAAGAGAGAGAGACAGACAGAAAAAAGAGCCAGCATTAATTTGAGATACTTTGCCTGGCTCATGTTAAAAAACCTAAAGAGGAGGCCAGCAGGTGACATGGTAGTTAAGGCACTGGATGCCCACGTGGCTGACCATGGTTCAAGTCTTGGACTTGGTGGCTTTCTTTTACTCCCCCCCTCTGTTTCTCTCTGCTCAAATTGGAGAACATAGATGAACAAATAAAATAAAATAAATCTTTTAAACATAAAAAAACACCACAGCAGAAGGTGTGGTGGTTAAGAAGGTGCTGGACTCCCACATGGCCGACCACAGTTCTAATCCCAGACATGCTGCCTTGAAAAATCACTCCTGGCATGTGCGTGCACGCCCAAAATGCCAAGAGAATAGAGCAGAAGGGTTCATGGCATGCTCAGACCCCCTGGGGGGGTGATTTCTCACTTTTCTTCTCACTGTGTCTCTCTGTTTCTCCATCTAGCTCTCTGGCAAGTACATACATCCCTATGGCAAAAATCTTAAAATGAACAACCTGGGACCAGCAATCAGCGTAATGGCTATGTCACTGGACTCCCATGTAGTCGATCGTGGTTCGAGTCCTGGACCCGGTGGCTTAAACTCACACCGGGCGTGTGTGCGTGCGTGCCCAAGATCCCAAGAGGAGAATGGAGGAGAAGGAATAGCAGCATGGCCATCTCCCCTGGGGGGTGATTTCTCGCTTTCTGACTGTCTGTCTCTGTCTGTCTGGCGAGTGCATGTGCCCTATAGCAAAAACCTCTCCAAAAAAAAAAAAAAAAAAAAGAACAACCTAACCAGGGCCAGTGACAGTGGTGCAGCAGTAAGGTGCCACTCAGATGGTCCTGGGCTTAGAGACTCCCTTTCCCACTTTCCCTTTCTCGGTCTCTCCCTGGTGAGTGCATGTGCCCTACAGCAAAACTGAAATAATAAATAAAATCAGGACCAGCAGGTGGCGTAATGGCTATCACTGGACTCCCACGTAGTTGACTACAGTTCAAGTCTTGGACATGGTGGCTTAAACTCGTGCCGGGACCATGTGCATGCGTGCCCAAGATCTCAAGAGGAGAATGGAGGAGGAGAAGGGATTGTGGCATGGCCATCCCCCCGGGGGGCAATTTCTCGCTTTCTATCTCTCTGTCTCTTCTGTCTTTCTGGCGAGTGCACGCGCACTATAGCAAAAACCTCTCCAGCCAATTAATCAATCAATCAAAGAATGAATAAATGAACGAATAAGTGAATGAATAAATAAATAAATAAAGTTAAAAACAAAGTTGCCAAGTATCTACAGTGCCTACTATCTAAAACACAGTCCAAAGACCCCTAGGCAAGAGCATTCCTGGAGAACTCATTAGAAACACATTTTGGGCCTTAATCTGAATCAGCGTTTGCTTTTGAAGAAGATCTGCAAATGATTACAGGAACAAAAAGCATGAGAAGCACCGGCTTAAAGGGTTAAGAAAATGCTGACTGGGGGCCAGGTGGTTAAAGTGCTGGACTCCCACATGGCCAACCACAGTTTGAGTCCCAGCCCTTGTGGCTTGCTTGCTTGCTTCCTCTCTCTGTCTCTCTATCTCTCTCTCTCTCTCTGCTCAAACTGAAAAATAACAGCAACGATAAGTAAAATTAAATGGATAATTCTTTAAAACAAACAAACAAAAAAAGGCAAAGCAAATGCTGATTATTAATCATGCGTAGAGCTAAGATCTCACGGTGTTAATGTGCCCAATCTCACATACTTCATTTTGAAGCTGGATGCTCTACCACGGCTCCCAAACTTTTGCTTCCCTTGAATTATGCACACACTGTAAGTATAAAATAACAACACTGTAGGTGTCGAGGATAATACAAAGAACACCTCTTTCATGCCTTTTTAAAAATTTGCTTCAGGGTACGCACTTGCCAGAACCAGAGAGCAGATCCTAAGAAAGCACTCCCTCATGCTGCAATCCCTTCTCCTCTATTCTCCTCCTGGGATTTTGGGCACACACGGACAGATGCCCAGCAAATCTTTCTAGCAGGTGTGTAAAGGACTAGAACCAGGCAGTCAGCTAGGTGAGATCCAGCCACCTTGACTACCACTCTACCTGGCTGGCCCCATGCCCAGTTTTCTTACGACCCAAATAAACACTTAAAAATAATCCGTGCCATAGCTCATCAAAGGCAGAACGTTGATACTACTGCAAAGAGAAAAGACTTACTGGCTGCTGTTGCAACTGGCTGAGCTATATTAGCAGGAGGCTTCAACTTCATAAGTTCGTTAAGACTGTTGTTTTTGAGTAGATCCTTAAGTTGAACAGGGTCTTTGGAAGGTGCAGAAGTCATGGCATTTCGTACTACTGGTGCTGAGACTGAAGGCCGTGTGTTTGCAGTAGTCTGGATAAACTTTGTTAAAGTGATGGTTTGCCTATTGGTGGTTACAGGTGGTGTTTTAGTCATCACAATTGTAGATGCCAAGGTCGGAAGCTGATTTATTTGATTCAGCACAAACGTGGTAGTAGACGGAGGCTGCTGCTAGACCAGAAAACAACACACGTCACAGCACTGAAGACATGCTTTATTTTAGAATGCAGGGTACTAGAATGCAGCTGTACCCACAAACATGACAGGCCACTGAAAAACCTAAAATTGACTTTTATTCTTCCCTAAATATTGGCATTACGCTTCTCATTAGACATTAGTTATAAGTCACCTAGGTAGTAAAGCATACTACTTTAAGGAAAATAAGGTTACATAACTGTAGGGGACAGCCTGCATAAGATGAAACTACCCGAACTAAACTGTGATGTACAGTAACTGATATATGGAAGGGGTAAGAAGAAATTAACTTAAAGGGGCAAGCAAGTAGCATGATGGTTGGGATGCTGGACTCCCACGGGGCTGACCGGGGTTCAATCCCTGTCCTGGCAGCTTGCTCTCCACGTTCCCTTCTCTCTCTCTCTCTCTCTCTGATGACTAGATTAAGGTAAAATAATAAATAAATGATTCTTCAAAAGAAAAGGGGGGGGGAATTTCTAACAGCAGCACTGCCCCACAGGTATATAACTTTAGGCAAATCACTTAAGCCTCTGGAGGCTTGGTCTCTAAGGGGCCCATTGACCACTTCTACCACTTTATAATTCCTGTCTAACACTTTGTTATCACACAGACTATACCAAAATCTAGAACTCAAAAACCAAAGACAGAGACCAGCAGGTGGCACGGTGGTTAAGGCCAAACACAGGTTGAACCCCGGACCTAGAGGCTTACTTTCCCACTCTCTCTTTCTCTCTTTATCCTTCCCTCCCTCCCTCCTCTCTCTCTCTCTATGGTATCTCTCTCTAGTCAAATTAAAATAAATTTTAAAAAAATAGATAAATAAAATGAAATAAATGGGGCCAGCAGGTGGCATAGTGGATAAGGCGATAGACACTCCCATATGGCTGACCATGGTTCGAGTCCTGGACCTGGTGGCTTTCTTTCTCACTCTCCTTTTCTCTCTGTCTCTCTCTCTGGTCAAATTTAAAATAAATGAATGAAAAAGTTTAAAAATTAAACAATTTTTTAAAAAATAATAAATAATTGGGAACCAGCAGTTAGCGTAATGGCTATGTCGCTAGACTCCCATGTAGTCGACCGCGGTTCGTGTCCTGGACCTGGTGGCTTAAAACTCACCCCGGGCGCGTGTGCGTGCGTGCCCAAGATCCTGAGAGGAGAATGGAGGAGAAGGGATTGCAGCGTGATCATGCCCCCTGGGGGGTGATTTCTCGCTTACTGTCTCTATGTCTCTCTCTGTCTGTCTGGCGAGCACACGCGCCCTACAGTGAAAATCTCTCAAAAAATAAATAAATAAATAAATAATTCTTGGGAACCAGCAGTTAGCGTAATGGCTATGTCGCTAGACTCCTATGTAGTCGACTGTGGTTCGCGTCCTGGATCCAGTGGCTTAAAACTCACGCCAGGCGTGTGTGCGTGCATGCCCAAGATCCCGAGAGGAGAATGGAGGAAAAGGGATTGTGGTGTGATCATCCCCCCTGAGGGGTGATTTCTCGCTTTCTGTCTCTATGTCTCTGTCTGTCTGGCGAGCGCATGTGCCCTATAGCGAAAATCTCTCCAAAAATAAATAAATAAATAAATAAATCTTAAAAGAATAAATAAATAACCAAGCAGGATTTTTTTTTCAAAAGAGTTATTTTATTGGGACTAGCAGTTGGCATATGGCTAGGTCGCTGGACTCCCATGTAGTCGACTGCGGTTCGTGTCCCGGACCCAGTGGCTTTAAACTCATGCTGGGCACGGGGGCGGGCATGCCCCCCGAGGGGAGAATGGAGAAGGGATTGTGTCATGGCTATCTCCTCTCGTGTGTGTGTGTGTGTGTGTGTGGGGGGGTGATTTCTCGCTTTGTGTCTCTGTCTCTCTCTGTCTTTCTGGCAAGCACACACACCCTTATGGCAAAAACTTCTCCGAAAGCAAAAAGAATTATTTAATCAGAGGCTGGCAGGTGGCGTGGTGGTGAAAGGCACTGGACTCCCACATGGCCAATGACGGTTCGAGTCCCAGACCTGGAAGCTTGCTTTCTCACTTTCCCTCTTGCTCTCTCTCACTGTCCCTCTTTGGTCAAATTAAATAAAGAAATAAAATTAAATAATAAATTAAATAATTAAATTTATTTAAGTAATTATTTAAGAATTATTTTATTTAACTTTATTTATTTATTTGTTTGTTTATGTTATTTTGACCAGAGAGAGACAGAGTGAGAGAGAGGAAAAGGGAAAGTGAGAAAGCAAGTTGCTAAGTCTGGGACTCGAACCATGGTCAGCCACATAGGAGTCTAGCGCCCTTAACCACCACACCACCAGCCAGCCCCCTCAATCAGGATTTTACTTATCTATGTTGCATGAACGACCCAGTCGGGTAAATTACAAATATCCTTAAGCCTAAGACACTACGTAACATTTTGCTTCTTATTGGAGATGAGTTTGAAAGAAACTAGAAAGAAATGCATTCCCACCCAAAACCCTGAGTAACACTGACCGGAAGATAAAACATATCTGTGATAATAAGTACGACTTAGATATGCTTATAATTCGAGCTTCTCTACTGTCTTTGTTCTTCAAACTGCTGTTAATACTCTAGTACTCCTTTAACAAAGGACTTCTGTATCACTATCACTGTTTGAAATGTTGCCATAGGGCACAAGGTCTTGCCAGGTAGAGAGCGAGTGACCGAGGGAACATGGGAAAGCCTCCCTCATGAGCAATTTCCCCCTCCTTCAAGACTATGGCCACATGCACTCAGCACGTTTTTCAGGCCGCCAGGTCTGGAACTCAAACCACACAGCCTGCCAGGTGGAATCCAGCCACCTTAACCACACCACCTCTGGCTGGCTCATATTTATCAATTTTAAATAAAACTCCTAACAATCACTTATCACAGTGTATCCAGTATCAACCTAACAGTTTTTCCAATAATTTTATCCTATAAAGCTTCAGTTAATAACTGCTAAGCTTGGGGACCACAGCAGATAGCATAAAGGTTCACCGCTGGACTCCCAGGTAGTCAACTTTGGTACGAGTCCCAGACTTAAAACTTACACCAGGTGCATGTGTGTGCATGCGGCGTGGGTGCCCAACATCTCAAGAGAAGAATGGAAAAGGGATTGTAGCATAGCCATCGCCTTAGGGGGTGACTTCTCACTTTGTTTATCTGGCTCTATGGCAAATGCCCACACCCTATAGCAAAAAAATCTCAAAACAATAATTAACTGCTAAGTTTAAGGTAAAAATCAAAGAAACTCTAAAGCATAATCACATAGAAACTATATGTACCAGTGGACAAAAGCTGAAATAAACAAACAAAAATGAAAACAGTATTAGGGTAAGGTGTATTTCTCCTTCACTTTGTGAATTTTGTACCATCTGCAATAAACTCAAAGAATTTTGTTTTGCTCTAAGTAGCTTCTAACTAACCTAAGCACCAAAAAAATTAAAGAAATGGACCACCAGGTGGCATGGAGATTAAGACACTGGATCCCACATGGCAGACTGTAGTTCGCCAGTCCTGGACCCAGTGGCTGAATATCATACTGGAGGCTTGTGTGTGGATTTTCGAAATCCCAAAAGGAGGATGGAGAAGGAACTACGGCATGGCCATCTCCCCTGGGGTGGGATGGAGAAGGAACTACAGCATGGTCATCTCCCCTGGGGTGGGATGGAGAGGGAACTACGGCATGGTCATCTCCCTGGGGGTGATGTCTCACTCCTCCTCTCACCCTTGTCTCTCTTGGCCAAGCACATATCCGTATAACAAAACTTAAAAAAAAATCTTTTTTTAAAATTATTATTTATTTTTTTAAATTTATTCATTCATTTATTTCCTAATTTGACGAGAGAGACAGAGGGTGAGAGTGAGAGAGAAAGGAAGTGAGAAAGCAAGCCACCAGATTCAGGACTCGAACCCTGGCTGGCCATGTGGGAGTATCCAGCGCCTTAACCACCACGCCACGTGCTGGTCCCCCCCAAAAATCTTTTAATTAAAAAAATTAAACATTGGGGAACCAGCAGGTGGTGTGGTGGTTAAAGGTGCTGAACTCCCACATGGCAGACCGTGGTTCAACTCCTGGACCTGGTGGCTTGGTTTCTCACTTTCCCTCCCTCTGTCTGTCTGATCAAACTGGAAAATAATAATAAGTTAAAAATAAATTAATTCTTAAAAAAAAAATTATATGTTGGAACCAGCAATGGAGTAATGTTTATGTCACTGAACTCCCACATGGTCAACTGCAGTTCAAGTCCTGGACCCAGCAGTTTGAAACCCGTGCGGGGTGCATGTACGAGCATATCCAAAATCCCAAGAAAAGAATGGAGGAGGGAGGACTGCAACATGGCCATCTCCCCTGATGAGGGATTGCTTGCTTTCTGTCTGTCTGTCTCTCTCTCTGGCAAGTGCACATGCCCTATAGCAAAAATCTCTCTTAAAAAAAAAAAGAAATGTTTTATAAGCCTGGCCTAGTGGCTAAGTGAGCCAGAACCCACATGGCTACCATGACTCAAACCCTGACCCCGGTAGTTTGAAACCAAAGCAGGTATTGACGTGTGCCCCACATCCCAGCAAGGTGAGGAGAGCAGATTGTGACCACACCTCATTTAGGAGGGTCTGCTCCCTCTCTTTTTCTCCCTCTCAAGTGCATGTGCCCTCTGGCAATTAAAAAAAAAAAAAGGAAAGAAAATTTCTGCATATTTTTTAAAGAATTATTATGTATTTATTTTAATTTGACCAGAGAGGGACAAAGCGAGAGAGTGAGTGAGTGAGAGAGAAGAAAAGCGGGAAAGCAAGTGGGACTCGAACCGCAGATGGCCATGTGGGGGTCCAGCGCCCTTAACCACCACGCCACCTGCTGGTCCTGAAAATTTCTGTATTACAAAGTAAGAGGTAACATACTGGGAAAGCAGCAAGAAGCAGACTGCAGAGATATAACTACGTCATATAAAAAGTACTTTCTATTATAACCCTAAACTGTTTTAGAAGTAATGCCAAATCTAAATCACTCTTACCCTCACATTTAATAGAGCTGGAGTGGGTACCGTCTCTGGCTCTTGTTTAACAGGAACTGCTGCTTCAGTCTCCACACCTAGTTCTAATGCACTAAGTGGCACTGACTGGAGAGAATACAACATTAGGGGAAAAAATTTTTAGATGCAGTTAAATCTGTTTCAAGAACAAGAGTTGCTTTATTTTATTAAAACAAAAAAAATACAAGGCTCCACATTCAAAATGTATGTGAAATTTCTGACAACAGACATAATATTTGCAAGCATAAAATCACAAAAGTATGTTACCAGTGCCACTTGAAAATGTTAACATTGTGCAGGGCTGATCACATAAAGGTTTCTGGGTTTGCATCCAGAAACCTCCCTGTGTGTGCTAAAAATGTGTGTACTAACAGTCTGGGGCTGGCTGGGGCTGAGGGAGGGTGGCAGGGTCAAGGCTCTGTCGGGACAGCTATTTATGCCTGCATGTATCCACGCCTGTTTACTCACACAAGTCTTTCTTTCTCTCTCTGAAGAAATAAACTTAAAAAAAAAAAGCCATCGGAATCTTATTTGCTTTCAGAGAATATATACAGTGAAACCACAGAAGACTGGTCCCAAGAAATGCAAAGATTACTAAGGAGATTAATAATCCTCAAAAAAACCTCTAAATAATTCATCTCTTATACAGATATATGAGTGGAGTTCAAAAAGCTTACAGAAGGATAGAATAATAACTATTTCATGTTCAAAAGTCTTTTTCGGGCTAGTAGGTGATGTGGAGGTTAAGTGAGCTAGACCCCAGACCCCTCATGGCCAACTACATGGGTTGAGTCACAGACCCAGCGACTTAAAAGTCATGCCAGATGCATGTATGTGTTCCCAAGATCCTGAGAAGAGAATGGAGGGAAGGGATTACAGCGAGGTCATCCCCTGGGGGGGGGAGGTTTCCTCACTTCCCTTCTATCATTTTTTTCTTTTTAAAGAGAAATTTTTCTATAGGGCACGTGCAGTCACTAGACAGACAGACAGAAAGCGAGAAATCATCCCCAAGGGGGGATGGCCATGGTTCAATCCCTTCTCCACCATTCTCTTCTCAGGATTTTGGACACAAATGCACCTAGCATGAGTTTTAAGTCGCAGGGTCCAGGACTTGAACCACAGTCGGCTACATGGGAGTCCAGCAACATAACCACGACACCATCTACCAGTCCCATACCTTTCTTTCTCTCTCTCTCTCTCTCTCTCTCTCTCTCTCTCTTCAGTGAGGGCCCTAGCCCTATGATTTAAAAAAAAAAAAAAAAAAAGTTGTTTCCTACTCCAATCCTAAAGTGCTTTAGAAATAATGCCAAATCTAAATCACTCTCACCCTCACATTTAATAAAGCCGGAGTAGGTACCGTCTCTGGTTCTAGTTTAATGGGAACTACTACTTCAGTCTCCACACCTAATTTTAATGCACTAAGTGGCACTTAAGTTTAGGACCAGCCACAGGGTATGGAAGTTAAGGTGGCTGGATCCCACATGGATGACTATGAGATTTGAATCTCAGATCCAGTGGCTTAAGAAACACACTGAGTACATATGTGTGCATGCCCAAAATTCCAACAGTAGAGTAGAAGAGAAGGGAGCATGAACAACAAATACTCCCCGGGGGGGGGGGGGGGTGAGGTTGTCTCATTTTCCCTCTCTCTCCCTCCACTGCTCTCTAGAGAGCACACATACCTTATAGCAAAAACTAAAGATAGTATGAATTTATTTTGGCACAAAGAAATTTTGAAATTCTGCATAGTTTATTCAGATTTACATTTTCCATGACCTTTCTGAAGGACCCAAGAACAGAAAATACTCTGTTCTGTTGGTTTTCATCACAAGTATTTTCTACTTCATGAATACACATGAATAATTAACATAAAAATATCATTCACAGGTATACTTAAAGGATTAACAATACCTATCTCTACAAAAAATTGACAAATAAAGGGAACAAAACCTATTTCTATGACTAGAGGTTTTAGGAAGACTCTTACC